TTCCGAAAAAGGGTTTTCCCAACCCCCCCCCCCCCCCCCGGGGGGGGGGGGGGGGGGCCCCTTTGTTGTTCCCCTTCCCCCTTTCCTTACCGGGTTGGGTTCCAAAAGTTTTTTTGGCCCCCCCCCCGGGGGGGCGGGTGGTCCCCCCCTTTTGGGGGCCTTTTTGTGGGGGGTTTTTCCGGTTTTCCTTGAATTTTTTCTTCCCCTCAATGACCCCTGGCCCAGGGGGGGGGGGGGAACGGGGGGGGGGGGGGCCCTCCCGTCCTTCTTTTTTTTGTGGTTTGGGGTCCCCCGGGGGGGTTTCGCCCCTTCCGCTTGGGTTTTTTCCCCCCCCGGGTTTTGTGGGGATTATTGGGACCCTGCCCCCCCCCTGTTTCCCTTTTTGGCGGGGTGGGGGGGGGGGGGGGGCTTTTGTTTGGGCAAAAAAAAAAAAAAATTTCTTAACGGTCGGGTTTCCCCCCCCCCCCCCCCGTGACCATGGAATGTCCGTGGTACGAAGAGGAGAGGGAAGTGTACATGACTGAGCTGGGAAAAACGCAAGGGACGTACAGGGAGATGTTTGAGGCATGGAATAGAGAAGAGAGGACGGTAGCTGTACTGGGGAGTAGGAAGTGGTTTGAAAAGGCGGGAAGGGATATCGTGAGGATAGACAGACTAGGGACGACATTTTCGAGCCACCTTTGGCAAAGTAGGAAGGAACGATTGGCCATCGGTGATCGGTCCTGTGGGAGCAATGCTCCGTCCTCTCGAGGACGCGTGGTCAATGGTCTAACCGCTCAGGCATGCAAAACTTAAGAGTACGCCCCCCCGTGACCAATCCCTGCAAATCAACCGCAGAATGAAGAATCAACCGCCGAATCAGGAGTCCGAGAGTAACTTTCGATATTCTACACGTACCCACCACCATGCGCTTCACTTTTTCCTTGGATTCTCGAAGCGGCTTCGCTGGCTAACTAAATAACGCCGCGCGCTTCGTTCCCCTTCCCCACAAAACGCTAGAAAACGCCACAACGGCCATCCTCGGGTGCTCTGTCCTCTCTATTATTGAACGCCTACACTCGCACAAAACACCACCACGTACGTGGTGGGAGAATCGCACCCTTCTCCATGATACCGGCCAAATCGCCCTCTCGAGCACAGCAGCAGCAGCAGCAGCAGCAGCAGCAGTGCTAGTCCATGGCAACAAATATCAGCCAGGGGTGCGTGTGTGTGTGGCTATTCCAGCACGGGCCCACCCATCACCAAGACGACCGGGACGGAACAAACATTGGGTTTGCCATGGTCATTTACCCGCCGTGAAGTACCGGTGGGTGGTACCGGTACTCCGCCGGTTTTTTTACCGCTTCCGCCAAATTCGTTACCGCCGAAAAACGCCATCACTGCCATCCACCCATGTTCCACCCGAAAAGAAATCCGCCGTTTGGTTCTACCGCCTCCGACCAGCCGTTTAACCCTGAACAAGGCAATACAATGCAGTTTACCGCCGAAAAACTGCCCGCCGTATGGCGTTATCGCCGAAAGCGTGTCCGCCAAATGAAAGTATAACCGAGTAAATCGTTGGAGAAACCCCTTGTACACCATCCACCGTACAACCCGACTATTGCAGGGAGTCCAATTCAGCGAAGTAGTAGCACGACTATGAGGACCCCCTCACGCCGAAGTCGGTTGCTGTTTTCCTTGTCTTCAAGCTTCAAACTAGAGGGAAATCGTTGTGAGTTGTATTCAGTACAATCCCGGCTTTCCTTTCGGAAGGAAAACGAACTTGCTTCTTTTGCGCACCAAGCAAGGCTAAAATTGGAATACAAACTGACCTAGAAGAAGATCCCGCCGAACACACTTGTAAAATAACCAACAAACCCCGTTTAGTCCTACCAGACTGAAACAAGCAGGGGGCAAAGAGCACGATTTTCTACAATACAAAAAGTACAGCCAAAACTTTCTCAAGCTCGAAGGCCATGCATCTCGAACCGTACAAACCAGGCCAAAGCCCCTACAAGGAGGCTCGCGGTGGGGCCGGGGCTGTGGCCGATCCACCCCCCCCCCCTGACGCCGCCGCTTCTGCCGCCGCTTCTGCCGCCGCTGCTGCTGCTGGGGCGACGAGAGACGTGCACCCTAGGACATCCAACACGAAGGCGTACTCGAAGGCCTGTTCCTTCATGTGCTTGTAGCGGTCGCTCGCGCTGAAGTGGCCTGCCGACATGTCTGGCAAAAACAAAAACAAAAAGGAACACAAGTACGGCCACCAACAGACAGGAAGGTCAAGCAGGCGTGCTTTGCGAGTAAAATGTAAAGCAGGCGTGCTTGTGTGTTGGTATATGCCATGTACTTAGGCGTGCTTGCGTGATGAAATCTGTGTCGCTGTGCGTTGCATGCGCTCCAGTTGTCGTGTGTGGGGCGTTCCGAAAATGTTACGGCCGATTCGACTGGTTGACTACCTGATACGTAAATTTGTCCCAATGACCCTCGACACAGTTTCGCAAATACAGGTGATGACATGGCCGTTCAGCTCTCACCTATCTTTAGGTACAGCGGGTTATCCGTGGTGGCCATGTCCCGCAGCTTGGACACCCACTTGCACGGCTCCCAGTACGCCACCTGAAGGACATGTACCGGCCACGGCCATGAGGGGGAGAGGGAATCACAAGCGGCACAACCAACCTTTGACCGCACAATCACAACACGAACGCAAAGCGACGAGAGCGATGACGACCAGCCGCCTATCCCACACAAGCAACACAACCTCTTACTTTTGTCGGCACAAGCACAACACGAAAAGACAAAAAAACAAAGGGACGAGAGCGATCACGAACAACAACAACAACAACAACAACCTCCTCCTCCACACAAGCACCACCACCAACTAGCGATTTGCGCGAACCACAAGCAGCACAACCTCTTACTTTTGTCGGCGCAACCACAACACGAAAAGAAAAAAGCAAAGGAACGAGAGCGATCACGAACAACAACAACAACAACAACAACAACCTTACCCTTGGGTCGTTGAGCCCCCCCGTGACGAGCATCGCCGGGTAGGGCTGACGCCGCACGTTGTCGTAGGGCGAGTAGGACAGCATGTAGTCGTGGTACTTGGATTCGTTAGGGTTTCCCCATTCCTGGAAGGCAAGGCGAGACCAAATGGAGAGAAGGGAACGGGGATGCTATTCACGACAAGCGTTGTGCGTCGACTCCGTAGAGAAAAACGGGGGTGTTGTAGACAAGCTTCGTGCATCGTCAAGTCTGCACGTGAACCGCCGGCCTAAAAACCTCTGTGCATGCCCAGGCGCCAGCACGCGTGCCTCGTAAGGAGCCAAGGCACGAGGAGCGCTGTATGTCAATATAGCAACCACTATCCTCTTGCTCCTTAAATTTGAACGGAAATACCCGCTGCTGCCGGTAGGTACGCGCCAAGATGCGGAGGAACCTCAAAAACCCTTGTGAAAGGTCTGTCTCACCTCCCACTCTGTGATGGTCAGGGGAATGCTTGGGTCCGCCATCTGGAGGACGCCACGCCGAGAAGCCAGGGATATTTACCGGCGGGAAAGGGGGAAGCATTTTTTGGGAGAGCGGGGGGAGTCAGAGAGGGAAATTCCTGGGAGGGGGGGGGGGGGCTTCAGATAGGAAAAAGGCAACGCTTCGCGCCCGAGAATCCGATGCCCTCACAAGAATGAGGAGAAAACCAACTTTTACCAATCGCAATCCTTTGTTTTAGCCCTACGTCAACGAAGGTAGCCCCAAACAGCAAAACAACAGCAAAAATTGTCTTACCTTTCGTCACTTATCCCACCTGAACTCTTTCAACCGGTCAATCCGATCAAGACGCGATCACGCCCAAGATTTCCAAGTTAAGCCCAAAGAGCACATGAAAGCGATTTTTTTCCCGTCATTCGACATTCATCCCACCTGAATGTACTCCAGGTCTAGCTTCTTTTCAGTCATCAAGACACGATCACGCGCAAGACTTCCCCTCCATGAGCCCGCCCCCGCTGCCGCCCTCTACACAACCAGCAGTAGTTTCACCGAGTCAATGAGGTCCCAGCTTTGCCTATCCCAAATATGTGTTTAACCCAATGTACACGCCAACCAAGCTGCAACGGGCAACAAAACAAACAGCCTTTTTCGTTCGTCTCACCGAGTTCATGAGGTCGACGAAGGGAACGTCCGCCACCGCGGCCGCGAAGAGGTCGGGCCGCATGTTCACCACGTTCCCGATCAGCAGGCCCCCCGCGCTGCGTCCGCACACGGCGAGCCCCTTCGGCGACGTCACTCCTTCCGCCACCAGGTGCTCCGCGCAGTCCACAAAATCTGATCCGAATGACATTTTAGGGGCGTACTCATGTTTTTCATGCCTTGGTTGTGAGACCATTGGCCACGCGTTCTCTCGAGAGGATGGAGAATTGTTCCTACAGGATGGGGGGGGGGGGGGGGGGACTTGCGTCCTTGGTTCGTGGGTGCTGCTGTCCGTCGGCACACTCACTAAACAGTCGGGTTCGACCGAGCGACGCCCTGCTTGCAACGAACGCGGTTTTCTACTTTCGACGGCTCTACAGAATGAACCAGGTTAGTGGTATTCGTGTAGACCTAGCTAGGGTGCAAAGTACATCTACCTCGCTTGGAAGATGTCTCGTTTGGATCCGATTTGGTTACGCTACAAAGGGTATAAATTTGTGCACCTATAGTAGCATTATTAATAGTACCTTGGAAGGTGTCTCATTTGGATCGGATTAGGTCACGCTATATGGGGTGCAAAGTTGTAGTACACCTACAGCCAGTAGCAGCAGTACTGTAGTACCTTGGAAGGTGTTGCGCTTGGTGAGGTACTTCCCGCTGTCCTCGTACCAGGGGCGACCCATCTCGCCCCCGCCCCTGATGTGCGCGATGGCGTACACCATCCCACGGTCCAGGAAGCTGAGCCTGATATGTACACACCACGGGATGGACAGCAGCAGCGACAAGAACAACAATCCGCACATGAAAAACAAAAAACGCGGGTTTTGGCACAAGAGGTTACAGTAACTCGGGGTCGTCGAGCACGAATCAGGGAAACAAACAGTGACGCGGGTTCTTTGCAACAGAGGGATCGTCGAGAACGGATCAGACTTGTGCAAAATGAAACGAACAACGACGCGTGTACTTGCGAAAGGGGTTACAAATACGCGGGGGTTGGCGAGAGAACAAATCAGACACACGCAAGCGGGCGGGCGCGCACACAAGCAAGCACGAGGACGTGGCGTTTTATCCCTGTTGTAAGGGATGGCCTCGCTCCGGCGAGTTGCAGTAGCCCGCCAGTGCTTGTCAACGGATGCACACGTACGCAGGAATATACGCCCCCACCTTTTTTGCACACGAGCCGAAAGTGTTCGGTGTGAGAAGCTACCGCCCGGCCATTCATAACTCACTGCCAGAGTGATTGGGGGGAGGGGACACAAATGGGGGAGAACACGGCATCCCACACAACCAAATCCTACAATGTACACGTGTGCGACGATGCGCCCAGCAGAATCGCGCGACCTCCCCGGGACACAATTACAAGAAAACCTGTTGCTCCCCATATTGCGTCTCCAACCCCCTGACAATTAAAAAATGCCCATACTGAAAACAAACATTGCGTGCGCCTCCAACACTGGAAATGAAAAAAACAAAACAAAAACAAACACAAATCACACCCAAACTATATTAATCGATCGCATTTTCGGCATGTATCCCGACCACAGGACCCTAAAAAAGCGGTAACCAAATACCTGGTGAAGTCGAAGGACGGTTCCATCGAGGCACCGTAGCTGCCGTAGCCGTAAAGCATGCACGGCGCCTTCGCTCCCGCCAAGCCATCGGGGTACGCATCCTTTCTGTAGACGATCGACATCGGCACCTGAGGGGAGAGGTGGGTAGCGGGCGGCAAGCACGGGAGAACATAGAGAATAATTAAAAATGTCGTCGTGGGCGTCATCATCGTCGTTGCTCTTGCTGCTGCTGGAGGTGACGTTGTTGTTGTTGTTGTTGTTGTTGTTGTTGTTGTTGCTGCTGCTGCTGCTGCTGCTGTTGTCGCCGTTGCTTCTGTGGTTGACGTTGAAGCTGTAGCTGGTACTGCCTCTGTTGTTGTTGTTGTTGGTGGTGGTGGTGTTGTCGCCGTTGCTTCGGTGGTTGATGTTGAAGCTGTAGCTGGTGCTGCCTCTGTTGTTGTTCGAGGCATATGGTGCATCGTTGCGGTAGACCGTGGACATGTGGCACCTACTCCCCACGTAGGCAACAGCCACGGCCTGCCTTCTTCGTGACCATGTTGTCAGCAACCCCCTTGATGTGACATCCGCAATGATTCTGTCTTGCGCTCTTCTTTGCTGTTGATCAAGATGATGGCGGTTTCGTGTTCGTCATGGCCAAGAACATAGCACTGCTATATAGCGGAAAGACACGACCTCAATCCTCACGTGCACGCCACGGCGGCAACGTCTCGTTTTGCGTCTACCGTATACTGGTGGCACAACAACACAAGCACATCAACATCATCTACCCCCGGCATTGTAGGGTTGAGATGTCTTATAGCCCAACGACTACGGCATGCGTTTACATGGGTATCCCCCATCAACCCACCCAATACCGTCCCGTAATAGGGATGAGAGGTCCATGGTCCAACGACTACGACATGCGTTGCATGAGTACCTCCCCCCCCCGCCAAACAACTAGTCCGCACCTCCACCCCGTCGCGAGCATTGGCCACCGTCCTCTCGCATTCATACATGGACCTGTCGTAACCGGGTACCTCCTTTTCCTTCAATAGGGTCCGAGCCCTGCCCCGCGGCAGCACCAGCAACAACAACGACGAAAAAGCGAACAAAAACATCGGTAGGTTGGTTCCCAATATCACGCACGCACGCATGTGTGTCAGGACAACTTCTAGGTTATTTCACATTACCACCCACGCTACCCATCCACACACACGGACGCACGCACGCATGGATGTCAAAGGCAATTTCCAGAAGCTATTGCCTCCTGGGCGGATGGGTCGATGCATTCCGTGGACTAAGGAAATCCTACGGGCATGCATATCGGAGACGACATTCTCGTTTCTTTCTGTCGCCCAAAAAAAGCACGCTGTCTCTTCTCACTTTGAGTCCATGTCGTAGTCGAACACCGCCCGTGGGGACACCATCGACTGGTACCCGAATCTCAGCGTGCTCGTGTCGAACACCCTGTTGCAGGTGGAGTAGCACGCGTACGCCTGTTCTGGGTGTTTCACTTGGTGCGACTCGCCGGTTCTCATGTCCCGGATCCACAGCTGGGATAGCCCTTTCTCCCTGTGGTCGCGCGGCGTCACCCACAATGGTAACAGCAACAACATCATCGCAACAGTAACATTGGCAGCAGCAGCAGCAGCAGCAAGTAGCAGCAATAAGACCATAACTTGAAGCTTTGGGCCAAATATGACGGCAACAGCAACATCATCACCACTCGTCATCACCAGCAACAACAACAACAACAACAACAACAACAACGTGGAGACTTTGGGGTATCCATAACGTCAACAACAACAACAACATCATCATTTATCATCAACAAGACAACAACTTGACACTTCGAGGTAACGAAGATCACATTGTGCATGCTTCGCACCGGGCAACCACAAAAAAGGAATTCACGGCATTCACCTTCCTGAGAGGACGATGTGGTTCTCGAAGCACAAGACCCCCTTCAGGCACACGTCCGGGTCGTAAGGCATCACGTCCGTCCAGTTCTCCGACCCTGGTGCGCTGAAGTAAGGAAGCAGCCGTCGTAAACATACGCAGCAACAGCAGCAGCAGTAGAAACGCAACAGCTATCACCATCCACACATGAATGAGCCTACGGATTTCGTTGAATCCAGCAGCAGCCCACAGCGGTGTGATCGGCACCAGCGCCAGCATCGCCATCGGTGTTGTCACTCCAGGAGACGACGGTCACTCCATTCGTCGACCAAAATGTGCGTCGGAGATTCGATCAAAGTTTACTGCGGTAAATGAGAGATCCAAGGTCTTGGTCACGTGCGGGCCAATAAACCGGGCACCGGCCGCAAGCACAAACCGAGACAGCAGTAGTAAGGTGACCGGCTTTCGCTGTCGTCAGCGGCATAGCAGCCTCTCCCAGAACTCAGGCCACAACGGCAACAGGGATGCTACACACAAGGCACTCCAAAGAAGCCGCAGCATGCGCAACCCGCTAACAGGGGGAAAAGACGCGCCTTATGTGCGGGTCGACTACTGCTTTATCACAAGCTCTTTGAAGCCAGTTGTCGCTGGGGCCGTGCCTGTGCCGCTGCCGCGTGCGGGACGCTTGCCCGCTGACGAGCCACCATCACCGGTAGACGGTGATGACTTAAACACCGCCGGTGTGCGAACAACGGGTCTGGCGGACCGTGTTGAGTAGTCTGTCCATCATGACGTCACGTGCGCCGGGAGCTCCTCAAT